ATTTTAACCTTTTTGAACGAAACCTTTTACCCTATACTTATGCCCGTTTGGTCTTCTTCCTTTGCCATTTAACATATTTCTGTGGCATGCCTGAAATTTTAAAGATAAAATAATATCAATTTTGATTCTGGTCTCAGTAACCCAAATCGCTGCTTTGACCCAGAGAGCTGGCCCTGGCTGTCCAGCACTGTAGTTGGTACCCAGGGCCTGCTGTTTCTTAATGAAGATTGGATCAAAAATACTGAAGATGGTCACTAGATGTCCCTCTTGTGTCTCTAAAGAGGCTGAGGAGGCAGTGCTTTCTTCAGGATTGAAGTAAAAGGAAGCTGAGTGAGAACTTTCTTTTTGTTTTTATTATCCTCATGCAGAATGGTTTTATTTAGTTAACTAATAAATTCCTGATTATGAATGTGTTTTCAGCCACTCATTTACTCAATAGCATTTTTGGAGTATAATGATTAAGTGTGCCTACTGGAAAATAGAAATAGACTTGGTGGGGGGATGGGAGAGCTATTTTTTAGAAGGGAGTTGTAACTTTCACTTTGAGCTTGAGGGTGATGGGAAAGAAGAGAAGCAGAGGCACATGCCCCTGCCTCCCATAATATCTAGCTTTTGTAAAAGTGGTTTGGTATAGCTGGAAGTATTTGGAGTGCTCTGCATGGAAAGGAGGAACACCTAGAGTGTGAACAGTGAGCAGGAAGCAGGGAAACCGGTGTCATCTCTTTAGCGAAGAGCATGTTTGTCTTTGCAAATGCTGAACATGTCTTTACAATGTGATTGCACTTACAAAGGTAATGACATTGTACATGAATTTAATTCTCCTATTTATCTTTAAAAGACAGCAGAATATAGACATTCTATTAGCACTCCCCAAGGTAAGCGGTCCGCAGCCTTCTTATCTTGTGTGAATCTTTTCAGATGCTGCGGCAACGTTAATCATTTTACCTGAGTAATTCTTCAATTTCTCCTTACCTGGGGGATTGTTAATGGCCGAGACTACTTCTCAGACTCTTTGCTCCCGCTCAATCAAGCCGTGGAGGCGCCAGTTTACTTTTATTGATCAGCGGGTTCCTGACAGCCTTCGCCACAAGGAAGCAGCATCATCCTTTTTTAACTGAAAAGGGAACAGATCGCCTTAAACTTTACAGCTAAAAGCTTCTAAGCATAGCATGCAAACATTTTAGCATGCTGCTAATTGTTTTGTTTAATAGTCCACGCAATATTTTAGAAAGCTGTCAAATGCCGAACTCACATCCCGTGATCAGATAGCAAACCCATTTCAAATGCCTTTTTAGATCTTTTTAATTAGACCAAGATGCACTTCATTCTCATTCATTGACATCAAAGGTAAATAACTGTGATAAATCAGATGGAGCCCTTCTCTTTGTGGAGCCCACGAAGCGAGCCGGCGCTGCCTGCCATGTTGTCACTCTCCTCCACTACTTGCCCATTTTTCCAACAAGGTCTGCAGAAAACCGGACGGGCCAACTCTGCTGTCCATCCGCATCTCTAAATGACCAAAATTAAATGATACCCATCGCAGATGCTTCGATTTTCTCCGTGATGCTCTGAGTAAATTGCATCCTAATAGGAAAGAATGAAACGACCTCCACGCAGAACATGGATCAGACTCCCTGCGCCCTCCCCTAGGTCTCAGATGCACGTTCAGGGGATTGCAATCTCACTCCCGAAATAATTCCTTTTTGTAGGAGGAAGCTGTCTTTCCCCTCCGCCCGCCAAGGTAAAGGCTGCTAAACTAGCTCCTCTTGGACAGAGAATTTTTTTTTTTAAAGCAGCTCGGTTGCTCTCTGCAAGAAGATGGCAGTTTTGAGAAAACCTATGTGTTCAAATGACTTTTTTCTTTTCTTTTTTCTTTTTTTTTAAAGGGCAAAAGTGAGTCTCATTTTAATTAAGGCTCAGGACAATGTCGCTGGGCTAATTATGAGTTTGCTCACCCAAGACTCCCAAATATACGACACGACTCACTCAGAAGGGAGGTTTACCTTTACAAGAATTGTGAATTCAGAGGCCGGTCCCCTCCACTCCCAATCTATGATTAAAAACAAACAAACAAACAAAAAACAAACAAAAACCACAAAAAGAAACACACAAAAAAACCCCAAACAAACAAACAAACAAAAAAATTTGTTCAACGGGGTGCTTTTGATTCCTCCAGCCGGTGACCTTAATTAAGAGCCTCTGTATTGGGTGGGGAGGAGTCCCTCTCGGTCCCCAGGGCGCCTTCAGTCGGGAAGGCAAGCGGAGGAGTTTAATGTCAGCCCAGCCACTCTGGCCTCCAACTTCCCAGCACTGGCAAACGTTGCTGCCACCACTATCACCCGAGTGGAGCTGGCAGCCCCTTGAGACCGAGGCCCCGCGGGAAGGCTGGGGCGCCCCGCACACAGTGCGGACATCAGCTGCGGGCAACCTATGCGGACTGCGCGACCGCCCAGCAGCTCTCTCCGAGCTCGCAGCTCTCCTGGAGTGGCGCGGCGGCGTCCACTACATCAGCTCTTCTCAAACGTACAATTTATAGGGAGCTGAATTCTCCAACAGGGTGAGGTGAGAGGCAACGAAATGTGTCAAGCCCTCTCGGCGGCTCAGTCCCTGCTCCAGAGATCCCATTTGATTAACAAGCAACAGACAAGAGAGAACCGAACGGGGCCAGAGGCCCTACTGGAGTGTGCAGGGATGGGAGAGTGCTGCATCTGCCCATAAGGAGGGACGGGGGTTGATGGTCCAGGAGGGTAGCTGCCGTGGTTGTCAGCTTAAGTGAAGACTCACCCGCTAAAATCTGGATAAATAACCACCTCGAGGGCGCTTTCACTACCTGGGAAGGAGAAGAGACGAAGACAGAGAGACAGACAAACCCAGGGTGAAGAGACAAAGGGAAAGGGAGGGAGAGGAGAGGAGAGGAGAGGAGAGGAGAGAGAGAGAGAGAGAGAGAGAGAGAGAGAGAGAGAGAGAGAGAGAGAGAATGAGAATGAATATGAACATGAACATTATAGTCAAGATATGAAGATATGTGAGGGGGATAAACACGGTGAGAATCAATTCCTCTTCATCTTTCCTGCAATCTCTACAAACACAAGATGCACACAGTTCCTAGGAAGGTTCAGCTGCAGTGTTAGCACACACCCTCCCCGCTCTACCCTGCCTTCTTGCCCTTGCCTGGCCTGCCAGCCTAGCCTCTCCAGCCTCCCGCCTGGGTTGTGCGGACCGGGGTACCAGTTGGTCCCGCCAGTGTGTAAGTTTCCGGCTGGCCCTGCCCCACCCCGCCCCCCGCGCCTTGGCCCCGCCCCAATTCCAGGGCCCGCTGGGCGCCGCTGTGATTGGCTAGAGCTTGGCGTAGCCCATCTCAGCAGCTCCTGCTCCCTCTTTCTCCAGACTCCACCATCAGTAGTTTGCGGCAACCGGAGGAGCAGCAGCAGCAGTAGTGGCAGCGGCGGGCGCATAGAGGAGACTGACGAACGGACACAGAAGGCAGCACAGCTCTCGCACACCATGCCGGGCTTGCCCTGGGGGCAGTGGCAGCCCC